ATGCTCCACAGTGCTCTGGAACCAGTGCAACTGCCTGATTGTGGCACTAGGCTGAGTCTTGCTTTATCCTCTTAGTGGATCCAGCAGGATGCTACTTGGTGCAAATCCAGGAAGGATTCTTCAAATCTAAGGTTCAAGTTCAATTTCAGGGCATCCCTGGGGACAGTGGGACATAATCCCAAAATCCAAGCCTGTCTTGGGGAATATGAAATGATCTATCACTCTACATTTTAAAGGCCAAATGTTGGAAATGACCTCTTGGCTCTTAGCAGAGCTGCAACTCTTTCTGTCAATGACTGATTTATAAACCTTCCCCACAGGTAATAAACCATCACTCTATCATGCATTTATGTTGTGAGTTTGACTGCCCTCTTTAAGGCAGCACCAGTTTAATTCAGATTACACCTGTGTCCCTCTGGCCTCGTCTTTGTGATCATATCCCCATCTGGTGGCTACACTCAGCAACTACATAGAGCAACTGTAAATCACAGGTGATGGCAAAGCTAGTATCTCATTTATAGGAAAATTCAGGTGGTTAGGAATTAATTTATCTTCTTAATAAGCCCAACAAAAAGTAAAATCAAACAACAGTAATTGCAAGGAGAAGAATTGAGAAAGGTGGTCATGAAAAGGTCAAGATTACACATGGAAAAGTATAGTTTCAAAATAACAAAAAACCCTTGCATTTCACTTTTCAGTTCTTATGTTTTCCATGTTTTTAAGAATATACTGACATAAAATAAAGGTGGCTTATAAGACTGTATGCAGCCTCACATGCAACCAGTAGCACAGCATAAATAGTTCAAATTCAACTTTCACACCAAAAAAATCATGTCATTGAAATTGACATCCCTCCCTTGCATGCCCCCCCCCAAAAAAAAAAGATGATGAATGAATTCTGAATATTGTCATTTTTCTGGTTAAAAAGCTTTGATATAAAAGAGATTAATCATTACATGATTGAAGTCTGGATCTAGATCTGGAGGGCTCTGGCACAGACTGGAGCACTCAGAGATTGGGAATACAACCAGAATGACTGCCCTTACCCAGCACCTGCCTACCTGAAGACCCTGAATCAGGGACAGTGCTTTTGGGACCCTCCCTCTCTGTAGTCCCTGCTAAGAACTAGTAGATTGTTTCTTCTGAGGTTTTCACCACCCCTGTTCAGGAGCAGTAGAGGGGGCAGTGGGAGGGCAGGTGGGTGGCTCAGCAGCCTCTGGGTTATGCTTCTCTTTACTGGCTACAGATCTTCCAGACTGATTCAACTGACCTTGCCTGGACCACCGCTCCCCTTCCCCTCCCCACCTGCACTGACCTGCTGCTCTATCTCTTTGCATAGAAAGTCACAATTAAAAGGCTAAGCAATCTCAGTAAGATCCTCCCTAGTCTTTTCTCCCAGGTACTAAGCCATAAAATAATTTATAGCCCTAAGGTCCTGGGGGACAAAGTTGAGGTGACATGCAAGGATCTGTGGAACTTCCTGAGCCTTACTGAAGCTGTCTGAACATATTCAGACTCTGTAATCTGCCTTCTCAAACAGAGAGGTCCCTTTAAAACAGTGCTTCTCAACCTTTTAAGACTCAAAACTCCCTGCAGAAAATGCCAGCTCTTAGTTTTTTCCTTTTTTTTTTTACTACAGAAAAATTATAAAATAATTCTTCTGTTGCAAAAAATTCAGAAGGGCCATGAAATGTCCGAATGTTTTTAATACGCTGAATTCCTATTTGAAGTCTCCGGATTTATCTTGTGAACCCCGTTGCACCCTGAAGAGTGCTAACAATGCCCGCACTTCATGGTATCCTTGAAAGGATCACAAGGCACCCTAGAGTGCAGCAGAACCCTGGTTGGGAATCATTGCTTTAAAAAAAGCTTAAGACTCAGGCTGAGGCAAGAGCCCACTGGGATCCAGTTTCTATTCCAAGTATTAGACCTGTAAGTGGACTTAAGTGTCTAAAAGCAATTATATTACATCATGTTCATGTACCTGAAAATCTGTATTGAATCTGGTTTTGTAACACATCAGCATCTAACCTTTAGGACTGAGCCACAAAAAAATGCATTGAGGAGGAAGAGGACCCACCCAACTTTTGCATTAACAGTTTTTCAATGACTCAAGTGGGGGTTGTGGGGAGTGGATAGGATCACTCTTAGCCACCAAGGTCCACTTATATATCTACAAGATGGAACACAATCCAACTCTGTGTGCTCTTCCTGAGGATAGCCAGAACCACCCCAGCTCACTGGTGGGGAGGAAATTCACTCAGCCAAGTGCAGCATGAAAAAAGGGTAACTAACTTATGGAAGGTTTGCCTCTGGGCCTCTGCACCTGATCTGTGTGCAATGTGTCCAGGGAATAAGTCCCACCAGGCGTTAAAAGAAAGACATAGATAAACAGCCTTCTTACATCCCTTATTAGTAGAGCATTACGTTCAGCTACAGCCAGGTCATCTTCAGAGAGCAACCAGTTTGATTCTACTTCTGCCGGTTTCATCTCAGAATGAAGACTAGATGGCTGCTGAGATAACTGTGCCTTTTCTATCCAGTTCTATGAGTGGTAGGAAAATGGTTATTAGATACAGCACAGGCAATGAGGCAATGAGCCACTGGAGATGGACCATAGTGTAGGATGAGAAAAAGAAACACACGGCCATGAAGTATGTTTGTTATTTCAATCATTTCTATTCGGGGATTCACATAAAAGGAAAATTTAAGAACCTAAATATAAATTGCAATTCATATTCTTTAAAGAATTTGCTGTCAATTTATTCAAACTATCTATAACTGTATAGATATTCAGTGCTTCCTGCACTTAATTCTGACTTTTCATCAAAGCCCTATCACCAAAATTATTTTAATTTGTAATAGCTAGAATATTTTTGCTATTTTCTACTGAAAACTCCTTATATTAACACCTGAAAAAAATACTGTTAAAGTTTTTTTTCTTTTTGAAATAAAGGTAAAAAATGGTGAAGACAAGGACATGTTTTGTAATTCTTGGTTATCTGGAGACACTGTTGAGGAAATCAATATTGTGGAATATTACCAGAATTTCAAATCCATATATTTTATTGCATCTGTGCTTATTTCTGTTCTGTAGGAATACTTAGAAGATGTTATCAAGGAACAAGGACCATGCTTAATAGCCTATACGATGTCTAATAGTACCTGCAAATTCATAATCAGTGCTGAACCAACTAGTCACAATCTGTCAATCTTGACCTTGTCAGGGGCATATAGGAAGTCAGTAAGGGAGGAGCCCAGGTCTCCTGCTCTCTGCAAACTCCTGCAGTGCACATTTGCCCAAACTGCTGCAGGAGACATCCATCTGCTGTAAAGAGGTAAGTATATCATAGACATAGTTAGACACAGACCATGCCCAAGAGACAAGTGATAGAGCTGCATGATGCAAACAAAGAGGGAAGTCTAGTCAGGATTTGGGGTCACAAATCACTTGTAATCAGGTAGCAGGCTTTCTACCTGTTGAGCCTGGGTAGGGAGACATTGCATGTAAGCTGCCACTTATGATGATGCAGCTCCCAAGTGCCAGAGAACTCCAGGAGGCGGAATTTGATAAATAAATATATTGTAAACTCAGCAGTGTATAACAAAGCTGAAAAATTTCAGGCAAAACCTGTCAATTTTCAGTTTTCTTAATGCTGCCTTGTATATATTGTAAATATACAAATTTGGGGTGGAAAAATTCAATAATTCCAATGGCGATTTTTCTTACAATAAGTGAAAAGTTTCTGTCCATGCTGAGGCCATTATAAACAGGAGAAACAGGGTCATTACCTATGTTTCTCTGATCCTGACTGTTACCTTCTTCCTTCTCTCCACAGGCATCACACATTACATGGGAAGGAGAATGTCCAACTGGACCACAGTGACTGAATTTCTCCTCCTGGGGTTCTCCAACACTTGGGAGCTGCAGATTTTACACACCATTCTCTTTCTGGTGGCATACATGGCATCCCTGATTGGGAATCTCCTAGTTATCGTGGTTATAGTTCTTGACCACCACCTTCATAGCCCCATGTACTTCTTCCTGATGAATCTGTCCATCCTAGACCTTGGAACTATCTCTGTCACCATTCCCAAATCAATAGCCAATTCTCTGCTGAACACCAGGTCAATTTCCTATGCTGGATGTGTCGTCCAAGTCCTTTTCTTCTTCTTCTTCCTTGCAGCTGACTTCTCTTTCCTTACCATCATGGCATATGATCGATACGTTGCCATCTGCAAACCACTGCACTATGAGACAATCATGAACAGGAGAGCTTGCATCCAAATGACAGCCAGTGCATGGATCTGTGGTTTTCTATATTCTGCGCTGCACACTGGTAACACCTTCAGTGCATCTTTCTGCCAAGCTAATATCATCAACCAGTTCTTCTGTGAAATCCCCCAGCTACTCAAGCTCACTTGCTCTGATTCATACTTTAGACAGCTTGGAATAATTGCTGTTGGTGTGTGTATAACCTTTGTCTGTTTTGTTTTCCTAATTGTATCATACATTCAGATCTTCAACACGGTTCTCAGAATCCCATCTGAGCAAGGCCGGCACAAAGCCTTCTCTACCTGCCTTCCTCACCTCATTGTGGTCTCCTTGTTTATTAGCACTGGTACCTTTGCCTATATGAAACCTATATCCAGATCCCCATCAGCTCTTGATCTCATGGCAGCCATTCTCTATTCTGTTCTGCCTCCAATAATCAATCCAATTATTTACAGCATGAGGAACAAGGACCTTAAATGTGCCCTGAAGAAAATGATCCAGTGCAGGTAATTCACCAAGAATAAGACATTCCCAGGGATGGAGCCAGAGCGTGAGGTGGTGCTGCAGTGTGGTTTTACCCCTTCCACTGCTGCTGCCACCACTGTCCACCAGCAGTCCCCAGAGCTGCTTCTTCCCCACTCCATCTGCAGGCAGTGGCTACAAAGGGCACCAGGCTCAGCAGGGGGCAGCAGCAGTGGCGCACAGGTTCCTCCAGCATCTGCTCCTAGTCGGTGTGAGACACCTACAGGGGAGGAGAGTGGGGACATGTCAGTCAGAGACATTCCCCCACTCCATTCTCCTGCTCCCTGCCCAGATCCCCACTGTCCCCCACCAACCACTTTAGGAAATTCTGGATCCATCCATGGGTGTTCCCAGTTCTCTGATGATTTCAATGATATGCTCTGTGCCTTTACTGATATAATCGACTTGTAGCATAATTGATGATAACATGATAACTCCATGCTGTCTCTTTATGAAAACTGAAGTCACTTACAGAGGTAAAAATCTAGACTGTCTACCACATCTAGTTCTAATTTGCACTCTTTCATCTCACAGCAGCACCTCCAAACCCTAGCTTTCACTGTCTTTGAACAGACTTCTACAGAGTCAATTGAAGGTTCCTCAACCGGGTCAAACACCAGGTGTTCCAAGAAAATCTATGCCTTTGGACCTGGGATAAATCTTGACCATTACCTTGATGTGTTTTTCCCTTATTTCTTGTTAACACCTACTAGGAACAGCTTGGTATTCTGCATGAGACTGTCCTATGGGCTTGCCATAGAGTTCTTATTATGGTTTTTGTTAATATTATGTGACTCCTCAACCCTCAGTCCTGTGTGTGCCACAGGCACACATGGAGAAACATAATGCTGACATGGGGAACTGGGGACAGATCTTGATCCCACCAGTTATTTTGAGAAACCAGAACAGTCTGTGGTTTTAACACCAATGACATACTGGTAAGTTGGCACTGGGCTGGGTCCCAGTCACAGAGCCACAGTTGGTAACTCTGACAGTAGGGGGACCCTGTGACTGACTCCATGACTGGGATCCAGTCCAGTGCCAACAACTGGGGACTGGGACTCTGGGGCCAGCTCTCAGGGGCAGTAACCTGACCAATCAGAGAATTTGTTGATACAGAGTGAACCTCTCTAGAGAGGTCAGCCAAGATTCATAGTGGGGTGAAGCTATGAGACTATGGGTGAAGACCTGTGTATAGGCTGAAACTGTATAGTAGTTCCAGCTAGGGTTCTAAGCTAAATACCCATGTCTGGTTCTGGCTGGGAATTCAGCCAGGCAGCATGGGCAAAAGCAGCCTGCAGATATGTCTGGGCTGGTTCTGGCTATCCTCAGGAAGAGCACACAGAGTTGGATTGTGTTCCATCTTTTAGATATACAAGTGGACCTTAGTGGCTAAGAATGATCCTATCCACTCCCCACAACTCCCACTTGAGTCATTGAAAAACTGTTAATGCAAAAGTTGGGTGGGTCCTCTTCCTGCTCGATGCTTTTTTTTGTGGCTCAGTCCTAAAGGTTAGATGCTGAAGCGTTACAAAACCAGACTCAATACAAATTTTCAGAACCTCCTGAGGTTCTGGTGTGTTGGTGGCAGGAGCATCAACTTCAAGGAAGGCAGAATAGCAACCTAGTCTTGGAGAGTGCCTGAGGTCCATGGTTTAAACAACGATACGTGCTGAAGTCCACTTGACTTAAGTAAGGTAACCTCCTATCACAAGTATGATAGGAAGCCGGGAGCAGAGAGAATTAACCTCTCTGCTGAAGAACTATGTGAAAGAGCAGAGAAAGTTATTGGGACTCCAAGACATTTGTAAGCAAGGTTGCAGAAAGTGCCCAAAGCAGTGTTGTGTGTTTGCTCTGGAGACAATAAAGTGGAAGTTACAGGTGCAAGCCAGAATGTTAACCAGGCAAAGCAGCTTCAAGGAGCTTGGATACAGTTAAAAAAAGAGCAGGAAGGGTCCAGCCCCGGCCCAAGATCAGGGATGGGGGATGTGAAACAGAGATGCCTTGTGATCCTGTATGCCACTAAAATTTGCTTTTTGGAGGTGGCCAATCATCCTAGGGGACACAGGGGAGACAAGTATGTTAAGGCAGGAAGTGTTTACAAAAACATAGAGTGCAGTTGTGTAAACATAGGGTTTTTTTCTCTGAGAAGTTATTTTGAGCAGAAGGAGATGTGCTGAGCCATGGGGGGAAGTGGGTCTTATTGGAGTTTTGAAGTTCTTTTTTAGGGCTGGAAAAAGTATCCCAAAAGATTGTATGTGGTTTGTTGATGGATCTAGTTGTTATAAGGAAACCCCAGAAATGGAGTTCGCTGTGGTAATTGTAAAACCAGGCTGCAGGGACAGTTGCTTTGCTGTCAGAAAAAGTCAGTGCTTTGCTGGATTGGTTTGCAGAAAGCAAGGTTAGAAGGGGGCCACTGACAAGCATGGATTATGAAGTCTGCAGCCCAGAAAGGATATGGTTACAGTAGTGCTATTAGAGTTATAAAAGGTCTGTCAAGGGAAAGAAAGGCTGAAAGTTAAGGGAGACTCACACAGTCAAAGTTAAGGCCCAGAAGAAAGTGTGGGGACTTCAGAGAACTGCTGAAAAGAGACAGAGTGAGAGATCTATGGAAGAGCCTGAGAGGACAGACCCACAAGGCATGTCCACACAGGTAGGCACTTGCACTTGCAGCAGCTCAAATAGAAGCGGCAAGCTTCACAGTCACCCCAGTCTCCTGCCCCTTCAGCAGGCAGAGGGAGACCCTGGCTCACCTGATGCTCGAGTATGCCAGGCTGCAGCCCCTCCACCTCCACTTCCACCTCCAGAACCTCCTCTTGAGTTTCTGGATGAATTTAACCTCCCATCTTTTTATTTTTGGGCACCCCATCCATGGCCCCACCAAGTCCTGGGACCTCCTGGTCAACCTCCTCCTGGCCCTAGTCAAGTGGGCCCTGCATATGACCAGGAAGGAGGCTCTGGCCCGGAAGTTGCCCAGAGAGTATGGGGCCACATTCCTCTCACTTATCCATGCATCTTTTCAGGCAGAGAACCATTGGGCAGCATCCACTGGCTCCTTGGATGCCTTTGAGGACTGGTGGGTGTGGCCCAGTGGGCTCTGCTCGGTGTCCTTTAACCCCCACATCACTCCTATCCTGCTTTTACCTTAGCAGTCCCAGAAAAAAAAATTAGTTGTATCTTTCACCCTTTGGCCCACACAGTGGGGGCTATTAGTTAGACTGGTGGGCCTTAAGGCTCATGTTAACTGGAAGATACAAATAGAGAGGAGCTTCTGGGGCCCAACCACTTGGTATCTGGGGGTCACTATCCCTTGTGCCAGGTGGACTGCTGAAGCAGCATCCCAAATTCACTCTTTAAAATACCCAGATTCCATGTTCTTCCACAATTACAACAAAAGATTACTAGAAAGAGAGAGGGAGAGATCACTTGGGCAATGTTTTATTGCTATACTAGCAAATTGTCTGTCAAGAATGATGATCCAGTGGGGACAGAAGTCCGCTTTCCCCCTCCCCACACTGTCCAGCCCATTTCCCCACCACCCACCTCTTCCCCACCACTGGTTCGGGTCAGGGCCCATTCCCTGCCTTCAGCTCTGGATCCAGGCCAGTTCCCTGGATCAGCTCCAGGCCAGTTCCCTCCCCTCTGCTTTGGCTCAAAGACCATTCCCCTCCCTCCCCCACACTGTGGGTCTGCAGGACACACTGGGCCCCAAAGGCCCTGTTCACCATGAAGGGGGCACCGGGTGGGCCAAGCCATGGGACCATTGGAGCCTGGTGGCTCCTGCAGAGATGCAGCACCAGAGAGTTGGTGAGGCATGTGGCCCCCAGTCTGTTCATGGGGAACGGGCAGTGGCACCTGTGGACTACACTCAGCCTCTGCTCCCTGTCTCACTGCCATAGCTTTGATAGTGGCGCGGTGCAGCGCCTTGTGCCTCTGCCTCTGCACACCCTGCACATCCTGCCATGCACCCCAGAACCTCCACCTCCTCACACTGCGCAACCTGACCACCTGCCCTGCTCCCTGGCCCCCGACTACCCCTGCCCTCTCTCCCTCCCCCTCCCCTTCATCCTGTCTGTCTGTATATTTTCTCTAACACTCCAGGCCAATCACCACCCTCCCTGTGAGCAGCACATGTGCAGTTGGCCCAGAGCATTATGGACAGAAAGACACACAGATGGAAGTGCTAGGGCTTTTACTATATTAGAATTTACAATGTTAAAGTAATTTAGAAGCCTATGAGTATCACTATCATCATAATCAAATTCTAAATCTCTATATGTTTTGATGTTTGCTTTTGGTTTTCTTATCACATGATGGGTGTGTGATGGGGGGATATGGGGTTTGCAGGAGAGGGGTGGAAAGGGGCATGGGGGATGTGGGTCCGTGTGGAGGGATGTGGGGAGATGTGGCTCAGTGTGTCGGTAGGTGTGGAGGGTTTGTGGGTGGGACTGTGTGTGGGGAGCTGCTTAGGAGGTGTGGGTCCCCTACCCCCCACACAGCACATGGACTGCCCCCCAAGTCTTGCCCACAGGGCCCAGAGCCCACCTACAGGGGCTACTGCCCACCCTGCAGGGCTCACATGCCCGCCCCCCCTGCCAGCCCTGGCCTCCTCACATGGCCTGCACCACCACCAGCAGCAGCCATCAGGGCTGCTCAGGGTGCAGCCTCCCTGCATTGCACAGGACAGCGGGGGAGCAGCAAGGCTTGGCCCCACCCAACTGGCACCTGCACTGCGCTGCTGCTGCTGCTGCTGCATTGCACGGGTGTGGCATGGCTCAGCAGGGCACTGTTCAGTACTGTGCACTGTTAGGCAGCTCAGAACCACTCAGGCTGAACAGTGACAGGCCCAGCAGCCCCGAGCTGCCTAACAGTGTGTGGTGCCATGCAGTGCCCTACCAAGCTAGGCCACACCTGCGCAATGCAGCAGTGGCAGCACAGGTGCCAGGCAGCCAGGGCTGAGCCCCACTGCCCCATACCCCACAGAGGGATTGTGCCATGAGGCCCCGAGTACCACTGCTGCTGCTGGTAAACTGCGGGTGGTGCGGGAGGCTTAAGCCAGGTCAGGGAGTGAGCTGGAAGCTGGTGCTGGTGCTGGTGCTGGTGCTGGTGCTGGTGCTGGTGCTGGGCCAGGGGAGGGGAAAGCTGGAGGCTGGAGCCAGGCTGGGGAGCAAGTAGGGACCTGGAGCCAGCAAGGAGGGATGGAGTCATGGGGGAAGCAGG